TATATATATATATATATATATATCACGTCTGAGTTCAGACTGTGTGCCAAACAAATCGTGGAACAATAATCTTAATAAGGAAGAAAAACGTTCCACGATTTGCATGTGGGCTGAAAACTGCCAGGTAGCTAACCAAAGCCTGACCCGCATGCAGCGGGGCGGCTTGTAAAAACCGCAGTCCATTGGGAGCCGGTGTCCAGTTCATCGAATCATACGCCTTTTGGAGGGAGTCAAACGTCCAAGGGGTCCAATACACCTCGATGCCCGATTGAGTCGGTGACCTTTGCCACAACCAAAAAGGTGTGGCTGGCGTTCGTACGCCTCCACTTAATTGGTTTGTAATCAGGGGTTTTGGACAACTCCCCTAGGTGAACTGAAAGTGGTCCACCAACCCAGTTATAGCCCCGGATGTCGGCTTTTCACTTTGGTCGGAAACACCTCTGCCAAAAGAAGGCAATGAGTAGGAAGGACTTCTTCAGTAGATGCTATCCAGGAGGCTTAGTCATATGGGAGCACTTCACGAGGTGCAAGGGAAGGGTGACCAGCCACAACCCTAGACATCCACTCCCGACCATAGTGAGGATTTCGGAGGCGGAATCAAACAATTTATAGTGTAGCACAAATCACCACAACATCGATCAGAAAGCCACGTGATCAAATAAGATCATCATCGTGGTGGCCGATAAACCATCTGCAATCCTCTAATATTCTACATGTTTGTGTATTCAACAAAACGAAGCAAATTATCACAATTAGTATTTTTCACCCGTCAACATGCACCATAAAAAGAAAAGCTCTCAAGCCAATTTAACATCTTTCCAGGCATCACCAGCAGTGTGTGTTATCTCCCGTAAATAGTAGGGTGTAATAACAGAGCATGACTCGCTTGATCACTGAGTGACTAACCACCCAGCAGGATTTACATTCGCAAACAACCTCCTTCCAATCTCCGCATAACGGTCTATCAATGATATTTGGAATTTCTCTTGAATGCTTGGTTGTCGTTATACTTCGTAAAATTTTGAAAGGATTCATTTCACGTTGAGAAATGAACTGCTTGGTGTGGAGAAATCCTTGATTAGAAAATTCCATCAAGAGCTCAAAAAGAGGGATGTCTGCAAACCAGAAGCAGGAATCAGGACATCACGTGATCTGTTGTGTCTGGGCAAAGTGATTTTATCGTTTCTAAGCAACCTTCTTTACAGAGTGATATTGTTTTCATTACGTCCACGATATAATCCCGGGTAAGGCTTGTTTGTTCCGTTGCAAACCGGTCTGAAGCAAAGACACATCTCACACGGGGACTATTGCACTGTGTTTCATAAGTATTATGAGGTAGAAATGTGACTGATGCAGTTTTCTACATACCACTTTGGCACATAGACATATCAACAAAAGTTAGGTTATTCACCCTCAAAAATTGAACAGGTTGCACATTGATAAAGACACGTTAATCTTCAGTAACAGATATTACAGTGATGATTGGTTGGGAAAACACTATATTCTTGTGCATGAGACACATGAATACGATCTCAATGATTGATTTAAGTCAAGTTTAAATTTTGAAAATGAGGCGATAGAATAAAAAACAATTGGTCAAACCTAAACTGATATCTGTCTCTATTCAGTTTGGTTTGTTCTTGACCTGGTCGACCATATCAAATGATTTGACCTGATTTGCGAAGTGCTCATTGTCGATATTGCGTAAAGTCAGGATGTTGCTCCCCATTTTGTATTATTATTTGTATTTGTCGTTGCGAATCAACCTTTTCTCATTTTTAGCTCAAGCTTCCCTTGCTATGGAAGCTTTGTTCCCTGTTTGATAAGCGGGACTCCCGAGTTTTGAAGTAATCCGAAATGAGCTGGTCAGTTATCTCTTCAGTTCATGGACGAGAGAGAGTGTGTTCGTTTTATTCACATAAGGAACCACCATTTCAGTGGAAAGTCAGCACGGAAATAGGTGGTTTATTCATTCAACAGGGTAAAACAATGCAGACTAATACCGTTTGATGAATTCTTCTCAGGCAGAAGACAAAATTCATTATTTATTATTTGCTGATACATCAGTCGACCCCTAAGGCGACCCTGGAGAGTCAAATTCCCCCCAAAAAGTGATATCAATCTGCGTTAAATCTGCACAACTGAATTACGAATAAACCATAACTAACAAGCAATTAATATGATCAAATTTAACGTTTATTAGTATCTAAATGACCCCCTTCGAACGTTTTCTGCAAAACAAAAAACGGCTTATAAGTTGGAGAAATTTATTTTCATTTTCATTTTATTTTCACTCGAGTGAAAAGCATCTAATCCACTGGAAAGGAGCACAGTACTGTTAATAGCGTTGTGAGAGACTACTCACACTCGTGAGTAGTTTGCACGCATTAACAAGCGGTTATCGAATTCCCACTGTCGTACTGTTCCATCATATATTCTTTTTGTTTGTGGAAATTCTGAAGAATTGCTCCAAATGAGAAATTTTGTTGTATGCATGTATGATTTGTATTTGACTATTGTGGTGGGCTTCGCTATTGAAAGCAGTCGATAACATTAGTGGAAAGTTCCTGCATTGTATGCTAACCGTAGATAAAGAATGCTTGATTCGCAAGATTGTGGTGCTGAACTGGTAAGTTAATCAAAATAGTGACCTGGATTTCATGAGTTCGAATCCCAACACCACCGCCCGTTTTCGCCATTTCTGTATCTTCGTATGCAGCGTTTGTAAGACAGCGGCCTCCGCCCTGAAATTTGGCTGTTCCCAGTAAATAACGAAGTGAGCGAAACCATTTATTCCTCCGTATTATTTTTATTATGAATTTGCGTTTGACCGCCTGACATTGTGTTCATAGTTTGTACATGAAATCCTAGGGTAGGAGGAGGATTTAGCGAGACCGTAAACTTGTGACCCAGCCCGTGGGGGCATTGACAAAAAGATGTTGGTTCAACTCCTTCAATGGCTTTGAGGTGTGTATGTGCGGCGTCAGTTTCTTTAACTTCTTCAAAATATCATCGTAGTGAACTGGTCAAAATCACCTAAATGATTTTTTTCTGATAAAATTAGATAGCAATCCACTTTTCGGACGGTGTTCGTTGTCACCATTTCGATTTAATCCCATGGATGCGGAAAATATATTTTAAATATATGTTCCTTTACTGAACCCCAAATCAGGTCTGGCCGATCTGGACACCAAATCATGCGGGAAAATTGGAAGTTGGGCAATGGGCTATTACGTACTTACCACCTTGTTTGCTGTGATTCTGGGCATTATTCTGGTGGTTTCCATTCATCCAGGATCGTCAGCAATTAAATTGGACAGAGGTACAGGAACCCATGCAGCTGGTCGAAAACCGGGAACTTTGGATGCATTTTTGGACTTATTCAGGTCTGTTTCGATGTTTGTCTAGCTGATTGGTTAGCATTTGACTTCTGTGATCATTGATGATATTGTAGGGTACAGTGTTGATGTTTCTGCTCAGAGAATCTTTGTTTTGGGTGTTAAACAGACATATACACATGCAAAACGTGTCTATGGAACTTTGAAAATTGAATGGTTGTGACCGACGGCCAATGGATTAGAAGTGCTATACATGATGGGCGAACTCTGAGGTCCTTAATGAAACTGAATATCCGTATTCTGATAACCATTCGCCTTCACGATGTGCAGAATTCTTTTGTAGCGCATTGTTTCATTCTCCACACTTTAAATGCAACGGCCCACAAAATCTCATAGTTATGTGCATCTCATGTAGCAATGCATTTAGATGTGGACCATCGGTTGTTGGCTCCTGGGTCCAGGTTCTCAGCCCAACCATTTGCGATAGGGTTTGAAAAATGTAGGAAAATTTAGTATCCAGTTGCAACGCCGGAGAAACAACTGTAAAGCGCTTTATTTTGACCGTCAGGCACCAAATTCTATTATCTTTTTAACTCCGAAGTTTTCTGCAATCCATCACTCACTCTAGGAGGTTCTAGAACAAGACTGCTTCCTGGACGGAAATCAATAAAATGCCCTTAACTGAAGAAAACAAAACTGAGTATTACTGTAGATTTCGCCATAAATCAATAACTCCCTGATCAGAAGACGTCTTTAACTGTACCCAAACGTCAACACATTATCGGAATTCGATTAAGCATTTGTATTCGTACTGGTATAACTTATATAAGCATATATGCTTACATTTCATTTAAAGATGAACACTGTTCTTCACACAGAATAAAATAAGAGGAGGAAGAACGAAAGATAAGGAATGTCACTGATATTCGTTTCATGCACAAAGATTTTCACGTTGTTCGTTTGAGACCTATTCATTTTTGGTAAGGAGATGGGTCAGGTAGAGTTCAGAGGAAATTTTGTAAATGCTACTGCCAGAGTGTAAATGTTGAAATGAGGAGCGTGTTGACGGAGGAGAACGATAAGACGATAGATTAAGGGTGTAGGGGATGAAGAGGGTCATCTAGAATCTTATTGGCAAATTTAAATAAAGAGTGGATGTGACCATCAATAAGTTTTGTGATTATTGAATCGATTGGAATTAATGATGCACGATTGATGATCATCAAACCACGGCGAATTATTTTGAAGTTTTGTTTTAAAAGACCGGAAAACACTACAGAGGATCAATAGAGTAGAATGGGTAAAACGTATTGATAAACGAAAGATGACAGGACTGACTGAGGGGTAAATTAAATTAAATTGCGTAAATTAAAAGATAAGCGTCTCAGTTTTCTCATACACTTGTAAATATGTGTAGACCAATGAAGATTATTGTCGAGGGTGACACCCAGGTACTTGGCTGAGGTCATTCAGGATACAGATTTACCGTTAAGAGTGACAGAGTCCGTTGGAAATGAGGAGTGGGAAAGACTGAAAATACACTCTACACACCTACATATGTTAGGACTGAAACCAGATTGGTCAGAAAACTGTTGGATGTGGGATAGGTTTACAGTAAAAGAATGAAATTTCGAAGGTAATGAAACAAAACAACGTCATCAGCATACTTTTGGGTGTGCACAGGGGGTGGAACCGAAGAACCACTAATAAAGGCAGAAAAAATATATGGAGATAGAACAGTAGCTTGAAGAACACCAGAATTATTATCAAGAGGTTTTGATGTCCTCATTCCCAATTTGGTGCACTGGACCCTTTCTGTGATATAATCAGACAGCCATGAGAGCAGCTGTCTTGGAGTGTCAAAAGAGTCAAGTTTGAAAGGAAGGGATGATCGGGAAACAGAATCAAACGCAGAATAATAATCAAGAAAACATAACGGACAGACTTCGCCGAATGGTTCAATGACTTGCTGATAAAATGCAGAACAGTGGATACGGCGTCCAATGTGGATCTGTTTGTTTTATATGCAAACTGAAGGGGGTCGTGAGGAATTGTGGTGAATGGCTGCAACTGACTCAGAATGGCTTCTTCAGTCAACTTTAGAGCCGCAGAGATCAGCGCGATAGGACGAAACCGTTTCGCAAGAACAGTTGAGGACGTGAAGTTGAGGGTCGGAATAATGGTAAATGGACGCCGAGAATCAGATATCAACCGGCAAGATTATGACTCATTGACGACGGATATCATCGTATTGGTTGGGGAAGCTTTTCCAAATTTTAGAAGTGCCAGAGGAAGACCATCAGGGGTTGCAGCTGACGATTCTTTGCAAGATCGAAGAAACTTAAAAATACTTCAAGGGTAACGTCATCCTTCTGCATCATATGGATCCCCATTTTTCAAGGTTTGATCTAGCAGAAAAATGTCTGAAGAAAACTCTGGAAACAACTTGTGAATTGGTACATCCAATTTTGTGCATGTTTAAACTACGAAGCATAAAACGCATTGTTATACACTGCCTCAAAAACAAGAAATTCAAACTTAGTACCAGCTGACCAAATACATTTTCAATTTGTTGAGGATACATCAAAAATTAGTCTCACCTCTGGGAACAAAACACCAAATGACTGACTTACTAGATTCATAAATCATAATTCTCTTCCTGGCTACTGAACCTCCAAATAGATCGAAGACGAAAGTATACACAAGATCTTGTCTAGCACAATCCCCGCATATCTCTAGTGACAACCATTCTTGCATAGAACCATTTTGATAACGCCAAATGTTATCATCGTGTAACTTCCGTTCAATTTTCGTTGAACTCCGATTGTAGATGTCGTAATGATCTTTGGCGGCTGAGTCGTCCAATTGCATCAGTATCCTAGCAGCCAAAACCAGTAGCCCTAGTTTGCACACAATAAACATAACTCGGAAAGTTCAGCGGACGCATGGTGAGATTTGCGAAGCTCTCCTCGTTCTTCCATGTGAAATACCTCACACGTCTGTGTCGTACAGTAGCACAAAACGAATACACGTTACACCAAAACCTTGGACGAGCGAAAAATTGCATCTATGCCACTCATGTGGGTCACAACAAGTGTTCTGAGCAAGGAGAAAAATAAATAACAGAAAGCGAGAATATGTTGGCTAAGCAGCACATGAACACTGTAGATAGAACTTGGGAACGGCTGAAAATGAAGCAGCGACACTGACATCGGATAAACTGTTGGCTTGCGTGGTATCACAATCTACTTAGTTGTCGAGTCGACGAATGCGAACCCGGTCCCTTGCATACGTGATACCTTGACACTTTCCATCGACGAATTCATGTTGCGGGTCATCAAAGACCATCAACAGTGCGACGGGTTCCCAACTATTTAGATGGTGTGTGGAAATCTTCTTACGGAACAAAGTGCTCGAGACAAATTTATTTCAAACAAAATAACGGAATGGTGAACAAGCTCGTTTTCAGTTATTCTTATTCATGCCAGCACATTTCCTATATATATATATATATACTTCGGAATAAAACTGTGTTTGGAAAATAAACATCACATCACAGAATATTGGAAACAATTTCGACATGAGACCAGAAAATGTATTCAGCACGATCACAGTTATTTGTTCAATCATCCGATCATCGTGATTTTTGGTGATACGTTGTGTTGGGTAGGCAGGGATAATGGAAGCTCTAGCGCTTGCACAAACTGGTTTTGCCCACACAAACGAATGCCCACCGCTTTTACTGTGGCCAGCATCCGACAGCGAACCTACATCGATAATCACCCACGAAATTCACGAATCCTTTCGGACAATCGCCTGACCGTGAAACCCATGTACGTTGTTCTACAGGACCAAGCACATGAGTATATGTAGAATGAGTCCGTAGATTGGGGAAACTGTGTCCTTCACTCGTGAACACAACATTATGGGAATAACACACGGAACTTGTGTGATCAACGGAACAGTGAACACAGCGAGACTATTGAACAGGTTCAACATTGCTCATCTTAATACACCGTTCACCTTAGACGTGCAGTGTGATAACGAATTCCGTTTCTGGATATCTGCATCATTCGTCGATCAGGTGTTTCAGTGCAGCGTTCGGAGCACAGAAAGACAACTTGGAAAAACCAATTCATCCACTTTTGAAGCTTTGTACCGCCTGAGCTAAAGAGGAACCTGGTTTATTGTCTAGCGGACAGGACAGGAAAGATTTGCAGTGTAGACATGCTAGAAGAACAGCTTCGGTTCGTTAAATCGATCTTTGCAAGTAATAGGTATTCGGAACGTCTGGTGAATAAAACGATTCATTGCACTGAGGTTAATAAAAACCCGTGTAAATCTCTATGTCTTTCAAGAGGGACACATCAGCTGAGGTCATGTGCGGTCCAGGCGCCGTGGTAACGCCACCAATTATCACCTCGGAGGACTTGTGTTCGAATCCCACCGCCATCGTTTATCTTTCGCCATTATGTGTGTTGTATGGCAGCTCTTTGATTGGCCGCTACCCTCTTCCTGAAAATTGTGACTTTGTACACTCAACAAAGGAAGTAAAATTAGAAAGGAAAAAATTGAATACAAAGAAGTTTAGTCTCCGAAATTGGCATGACTTTTTACGCATCCAGACTTCGTGTGTTGTTTATATCCAAGCCAATTATGTGCTTGCGACTGAAGAACAAAGTTCCTCAACTGCACGGACTCATTCTGTGTACACGCATTTACTTGTTCCTGTGAAACAACGTACATAGGTTGAACCGTCAGGCGATTGTCCGAATGGATTCGTGAACACCACCCTGCGTCCTCTTGAAGAGCGTTGAGGATCTTTCACAATCTACAGCACGCTGGCCTTCCGACATGTTCATTCTGTGATTTAACCACCAGCTCCGAACTCCGGTTAGTTCTTCAGAGAATTGGTTTGAATTCAAATTTTCGTTATGTCGCCTCTATATTGGAACGTTAGAACCAGATTGCCAATGCAGATGAGATACATCTTTTTCAATGCATGTTAGGTATGCGGCTTGGCAATTACTCAATAGCTGTTCACAATT